CCAAAATTCGTGACCCTAGCATGTACAGATCGCGAGATATCAAAACCGGAAGTTCTGCTGCAGTACCAACAGAAGCCGCCAGGGGACCCAAAATCTAATCATTTCTAGCTCTCATGAAGACCTACTCACCTACCAAGTTTCATGACAATGCATACTAAGCTTCTTGAGTTATGCTGTTCACAGACAGACAGACAGACAGACAGACGGACAAACGCTACTGAAAACATAACCTTCTTGGCGAAGGTAAAAACAGGCCTTGGCATCCTATTATAGCCCCAAATGCTTTGATTGGAGCCATGAAGTCAACACAAAAGGCTGGGATAAAATTTGAAACAATGAATTTTGAACTTTTAACCAAACCACTGCATTAAAAGATTGAAAAACTGTAAGAACTAGGAAGAAAAGGACTTTCCTCAACTGTTGGGAGCAAAATATGAGCATTTTTTAGTTGATTCTGAACCAGAATCTTTTTTTTTTTTTTGCAAATCAGAAAAAAATGAAGAGGCGAATCCGAGAACCAACAAATTAAAATTGGTGTGGCCTAACGGAAAGAAAAGTACCCTGCGAAGCTTGTCTCTGAAGTAAAACAGAAAAAGACTGATGACAACTTTACTGGAGACACAAAACCAACAGATTATCTTTTTCCAGGTATCCCAGAGATTGTGATGCCGCCAGTATCGGGAGATTGTGTTCTGGGGGGGACGGCTAAGTTCATTTGTGAGGCCCGAGGGCACGGACAGCTCATCTACCAGTGGTACAAGGATTACAGACCTGTCCCTGGTATGTTGGCTTTCAAAACATTTCATAATGGTTTATTAGTTAAAGGTGCTACTGTAGTTGTGTCAAGATGTATAAAGAGTAACATTTGCAAAGCAAATGCATAATGTTTACTTTGAAGTTCGTATGTGGTCTGCTCTGTTCATTCTTACTCAGACACATTCATATATACATTATATATAGTGACAGGAGTCTAAATCCCTCCTGCTATAAAATTGCAACATGATGTAACCCAGCACCAGTTGCTATGGTGATAGATGTCTGGTTCAGGTCTTTGACCTTTTGTGTTTGGAACGGAAGAGGAAACAATATACTTAGTCTAGTCAAGGAGGTTATCTTTTTTAAACTCCTTGGTCTAGTAATATTTTCCTTCAGTAAACATAAAAAGGGGGATCCTCGTACTTATTTGGTAACATGTAATACTGTTATTCCTAATATTTTCACGGTACTTTTATGTTTTCTACTACATGTACTGTTTTCACAGTGACTTCTGTACCGTGGACTTATCATTAACCATAATTTTGTCAATCAGTTGTCTTGATATGATGAAAAGGAAACAATGCTTAAATTCTATTTTTTTCTCTAGGAGGGGACCGCAGTGTTCTATGGATACCACAGGTGACGTTAGACCTGCTCGGCTCATACCAGTGTCGGGTGTCGAATTCCGCGGGGGACGTCATGTCCAAACCTGTGTCGCTCAAGCTGCCAAAAGACGACTTTCCAATGGGTGGGTGGATTTAGTTAGCAGCAGTGCTAAGAAACAGATTGCCAGGAAATTAAAGATGTCAGACTTCACCCCTATACCCATACTGCTTTGCACCAGAATCTTCCATTCCCACAGACAAAAGTACATTTGTATAATCGATGAGTTCAGAGGATGTGTGGCATTGCTGCATGTATTTGGGATTGCAGAGATACATTGTAGACATATTAGACACACAGTCAGACATACAAACAAACAGACATACCAAAAACTATGCTTTATTCCCTTACAAATTTCTGACAAAAGAAAGCCATTTTGCATCTTTAAACTTTGACAACATGTTTAACATTTTTCACCCTTTTTGTTTTTGTATTATTTTGCAGGCCCAGAAAAACCAGTTGAACGATATTATGGTAGGTTACAAAGTTGTATTACATGTATCTTACAATTAAGAACTTACACCTTTTGACAGTTTCATACCATTAATATCAATTATTTTATCTCATTTTGCCAATTTTTGGACAATACAAAGTCTCAGAATTTATAAAATGTGTGCATGACATGTAACAATTTTTTGGGTTACTACTAACTTACTAGTGAATTCTTTCATCAGTGACAACTTGGAAGAATAAGGATACTAACCTCCAAATTATCTTGTTTACGGAGTGGCCTAATCTCGCGAGAGCGCGAGACTAGGCCCGGGACTTGCATCGGTCTGTCGGGTCCCACCCCCCGCTGCCTCCCTCCGGAGTAAGGGTAGGCAAGTCTCGGGCCTAAGTCTCGCGCTCTCGCGAGATTAGGCCACTCCGTGAACAAGATGGACTGATAGCCATCGAAAATTTGGGGGTTAGTATCCTTATCCTTCCAAAGTTGTCACTGATGAAAGAATTCACTAGGAACTGTATCTATACGTGACAAATGAATCTCTTCAACGATAACAATTTTTTGTTTTTTCAGCTACAGACAAGGTTGCTCTTGTTATCGGCAACCAAGATTACCGCAACCAGGATAACCTGGAGGCCTCCATCAACGATGCCTACACCTTGTCCAACATCTTAAGGAATGAGCTGGACTTTAAGGTGGTGGCGCTGACCAACCTGGACCTGCAGGACATGACCAACGCTGTCCAGGCTTTCTGTGAGCTGCTGGACGAAGGAGTTTATGGTAAATTCAAATTTCTTATACATTGTATAATTAATTATATTGTATAATTAATATTGTACATTTTTATATCATCCTGGGCTGTTCTGCAATGTGATAACTAGTGGTAAAATGCAGGGTTCTATTTGGTATTCCAAGTGTTCCATAGAATAACACATTTTGTGAGCGCTGAGTGTGTACCACCTTATCAAATATCGACTTCGGACTTTTTTTGTTTAGGGACACCAAATTTTGACACACATGATCACAATGACTGCTGACAATTCCAGACATCATATTATCAGCAACGTTTAAATGCTACAAGAAAAAGATGGGTGATATCACAATCATAATAAACAACACAGGCTAAAAACCTCCTTCCTGAAAGTCCATTGGTCAGCTGGCACCACGGTATAAATGACCTAGACAACAACCTGTTAATACTTAGTCTAGTAGTAGACGATACCACACTTCATTCACCCAGGTATGTTTCATTCCCTACAAATACTGCTAAAATGTCCCAAATCACAAATTATGTTTCTTTGCGGTCTCAATAACTATCCAAGTACCAAAATTCAAACAAATCAGTCCAAAGGGTCGTGTCAGTTATACAAAAAATACCAAAAACAGTACCTTCCCGTGGAAGGATATCTGTATCTGTATAGCTGGTATAACCGCCTTTCAGCGCAACACACCAGCTTCACAGGCACGCGGCGCGGCGGCAGCTGGCTACATTACACCAATGAACTTGTTACACCTAACCTTTGAACATCTAACTCTAGACATTGTTTAAAGCAATCCAATGATAATGCCCCTACTGTACTTGGTGACAGTGAGTTCTACTCTGCGATAGTTCTAGGAAAGAATGAATTCTTGAACACCTCAGTCCTTGGTTGATAACTCTGGTACTTGATTAGGCATGGCTTAATTATGTATCTATTATTAATATATCTCATAAAAAAACTACTGTATGACAGTGAAAGTTTCAGACTCTGTGTGGTCCTTGTGTGGCAGGTGTGTTCTACTATGGAGGCCACGGCTATGAGAACAGGGGACAGCAGTTCATGATGCCGATCGATGTGCCCACCACGTACCGGGCGGCTGACTGCGTGTGTGCTCAGATGGTGCTGAAGAAGATGCAGGAGAAAAGCACGGGGCTAAACCTGCTGCTACTGGACATGTGCAGGATGAGGTGAAGTTTGTGTGTTTGGCATTATAGCTGGTACACCACCTTTACACTTTAGGCCACACCAATTTAATTTGTTGTTTCTCGGATTTTTTCAGAAAAAACATGAAGCAACAGGGCGAAATATTAAAAGAAAAAAAAACAGGCCAAGGCACCCCATAATAGTTGGAAATGTTACAATATGAGCCATGAAGTGAACATACCAGGCTGGTTTATAATCAAAGCAATAGATTTTTAACTTTTAATGAAACAAAATTGCATTGTTATGTACATTGGAAAACTTTAAGAACTAGGAAGAAAGGGATTTTCTTCAACCGTTGGGGCCAAAATATGTCTGAGCATTTTGCAATTTTTAGAACAAAAAAGAAATTTTTTTTTTTTTGCAAATCAGAAAAATATGGACAGGGTGATCCGAGAAGCAATAAATTAAATTGGTGTGGCCTTACATGCAAACAGTTTGATCTAAATGTTGTGCATTATAAGTTTTCTTGTAGCTTACCACTGGGTGACCTATGTGTGGATTAGACTATAACCTCCTTGATCCACACTTAAAACAAGAGGATAAGGATATAGGAGAGGACTGTCTGCCACCAGGTGTTTGCCAATCTATTTAACATTTATTTAATGTTTGCTTCAATCTTGTACATAATGTTTGCTTCTACAGGAATAAGGACTGTTCCCAGCCACCCACAGAGGAGTGGGACATCGACAGGCCCAGAGGGAACGTGGTGTTTGGCTTTGCTACGTAAGTCTGGATCACCTTTCTGTGATTTTATATATTTGTTGTTTCTCAGATCTTGTGAGAAAAGAAATGAAGCAACAGGGCAATAAACAGGCCTTGGCATCCTATGATCATACAAAAGCACTTAGTCATTAGAAGACGTCAACAAAGCAGGTTCAACTTGGCTAAGATATTATTCAAACAATAAATTATAAAAAAAAAACTTTTATCAAACCGCTGCATTGATAGATAATAACTAGGAAGACATTCAATGACTTTGGTCAACTTTTGGACCAAAAATATAAAGTAAGTGAAGAAATCAGAATTTCAAAGTGAAGTGAGCAAATTCTAGAATGACTGTCATTGTCATTAAAATTGTGTGACCTAACATATTTTCACTTTTCACATCCTCTTATGTATTAAGAAAAATCTGACTAGTCCTTCATAGTCAATACACTGTACTTAAAAAAAAGGCTTTATCATTATTGTGAAGTACATGTAGCAATAATTATTGTGCTGACTACTGTATTTAGAAAAGTAATATGTACATGTATAATGTATGTATGCATGTATGTATGTATGTATGAAAGTCCCATAACCGCGACGGTCGTAGGGGCATATATGATACCCCCTCTTTTTCTGATATAGTTGCACGAATGCAGAGGCGTTTGAAGTACACGGAGAGAGAAATGGGATCTTCATGTCGTACCTGAGGAGGCACATCACCCAGCCACTAAAAGTCACACACATGCTGGAGCAGGTCCAGAAAGGTCGGCATGTTTGTTTGTTTTGGTTAAGAAAATTAGGTATTAGAGGAAGAAAGTACAAAAAAATGTAGTTTGGTGCCTAATGGTTTAGTAAAAATGTTTTTTGTTATATCTTTTGACCTCATTTGTTGACGTCTCTCACCATGGTACCTGGTGTTGGGTTATATAATGTTGCAATTTTATAGTAGGAGAGATTTATACTCCTGTCTCCATATAAATGACTGTATTTGAGTTAGAATTAACAGAGCAGACCACATGCGAAGCTAAACATTGTGCATTTTCTTTGCAAATCTTAATTCTAGTTTGTCAGATTGTATTTGATCCCTGACTTGATGAAGCAAGTTTAAAATGCAATTTCCAACACAAAAAATTGTACTCACCTAAAGTTTCCACTGTACAACTGCAGTCTTTGTCAAGGAAAGAGCAATCCACCGCTTCTGTGACGTCACGCAGATAACACACGTGACTCAGTGAGCAGTGGATCATAGGTTGCAGAAAGTCTGTGGCACCCCCCGTCATTACAACCATCCCTCAATAGAGACGGGGGGCGCCACAGACTTCCTGCAACCTATGATCCACTGCTCACTGAGTCACGTGTGTTATCTGTGTGACGTCACAGAAGCGGTGACTGGAGTAACTGTTGTACAGTCGAAAATTTGGGTGAGTCCAATTTGTTGTGCTGGAAATAATTATTGCATTTTTAAGTTGCTTCATAATGATTTCAGTTACCATCACAGATGAACTTTCAAGATAAGATCCCTGACTGTGCTGTTGCCCACACAGGTGTTGGACAGGACAAACAGGCGTCACATGTCCAGTTCCCACAGATCAGTTCAGACCTGCGCGAGGACAGGACGTTACGGGACCCGATCAGCTTCCACGGTCACACGCAACAGTTCTGTGTCAGGAACCAGAGGTGGGCGGCGGCACATGGTAGGTCTTTACTTTTATTTTATTTTCCGTCATTTTTATACAGGGTGGCCGATTAAGTGATTACACTTCTTTTCAATGGGGCCCTGTTTTACACAACAAAACACAACAGTCACAAAAACAGTAAAATAGGGATACAGTAAATGATAATGGCAATAATAATAAAGAAAAAACAGTAACTAACCAATAACATTAATAAATAATGATAATAACAAAAAGTACAAATTGCCCAGTCCAGTCATTGTCCAGTCCAGTTTGTTGGCATGGAGGGGTCAGAGGTCAGGCCAATTTTTACATCTCATTTTAAAAGTAGACATGGACGGGCAGGTCTTTTATCATGTGGCAACATATTCCAGAGGATAGGGCCTATATAGGAGAACTTGCACTTGCCACATTCAAGGCACACTAAGGGCAGTTTCAAGGATACAAATGTAGGTCCTTATAATAGTTTCACTATGTTAGGGTGCACAGTCAAATTTGCCCAAATGACCTATAAGATGACTATATTAAGGCCAAATGAAATCAAATACATGCTTCCTTATGTTTCCATTTAACGTTTAGTTGGTATACATATTACTGTAAATCACTTTATATTTTGTGGTAGCAAAGTTTTGCGGTCTGAGAAAAATGGAGATGTTTGCGGAACTACTATATGTGTAGTAGGGTGATACTGAATGCCTGACGTGTTGTACTTTATTTGACGACATACCCTGTTACCTGGGAAAACACACATCTCAATGCGAAATCTCAGTGCAAACATTTGGTATACCTATTCCAAATTCGGTATCTGAGAATTTGGTATCTGAGAATTTGCACTGAGCACATGCAAAACACTTATCATTCTGTGGGACTTTTGGATGCCTGTGTGATAACTGTGTTAGAACCCCATGTGATAAGGCTAAATATCACACCCTTATAACTTATTGGGGTCCAGGTATTACATGAATACCACTTACAACTAGAAGAGTAACATTTTCAAAGCAAATGTATAATGTTTACCTTCGGATATGGTCTGCTATAATATTAATTCTTACTCAAACACATTCACATACATGTACATGTATATGGTAACAGGAGTCTAAATGCCTACTGAAAAATTGCAACTTTATGTAACCCAACACCAGTTACTATGGTGACAGACATCAACAAAAGAGGCCATTGGCCAGGTCAGAGGTTAGTGTTTGGAACAGAAGAAGAAGAAATGGAGCAAAAACAATATGTTTTCCTTCGGTAAACATAATTCTTCAGTAAATGTATTACTGGTTGCTCCTTGATATTTTAGTCATTGATAATGGCAGTAGCACCTAAAACTTTCTCTGTCTCTTCAGAGCTTCCAGAGGCCATCAACTTCGAATTCCCGAGCTGTGGAGTTCACGTCAGGCTCGGCTTCTTTGCAGAGTTCTCCAATGTCATGGTCATGTACCTGACCGTACTGGACCTGGGCAAAACACAGCGATGTCTCCCGTCTTTAAGGGACTTTCCTCCGGTACGTAAGCAGTTTGTGAGCCCCGGCTTTGTACTGAGAATCAGAGAATTGGGTGGTTGGTTCATTCAACCGTTTGGGTGTTAAATACAGTAACTGTTACAGATACAGCATGAAAACCAAGCAGATGTCAGGAGGGAAAGAGCGGCTGAATGAAACAAGATTAGTGACACAAATCTTTATCACACATTGCGCATCTAAGTCCTGTCTTACTAGCATTAGTCCAATCCAAGTCGCGAAGGTGACCAATTATTTGAGTCACATCATAATCACAGTGTCACATTATACTTCTACTGCAGCTCAGTGTGAAATGGAATAAAATGAAGTGGTGATGATGTACATGGCCTTATTTAATTCTAAGCTGTGTTAATATAATGTTGTAATTGTTGTCAATGTATTTATGTTTTGTACATTTGTGTAAATGTGTGTCATGTGTGTCTTGAAACACCACAGGAAGAATAGCTGCAATACAGTTTTTGTAAGCTACATGTAAGTGTGGATCCCAATAAAGTCAAAGTCACATTATACCTAATAGTAGCTATTCCCATATTGGCATCCGGACAGCTTTTTTAAACATCATTTCTTGTTTAACTGACAATTCAATTTACTGTTCTGGAAATGAAGCAAAGTAACATGCATGACTGGGTGAATGACCAGACTATGATTTGAAATCTTTCCATTTTCAGGGGGTTGAAATTGATGTCAAGTTCTCGAACAAGGACAAAGTTGAGGTATGTGGGTAAACTTGGTCTTCTTTTCTTCATCCTGCCTCAGTGTGGTTTACATTAACACTGTTGTTTGTTTGGTTGTTGAAAGGCTGGCATGCACTTTGCCTGAGTGTGGATTCTTCTTTCTTTCTTATACTTGTATCAAGCACAGTCATCTTCAAATCCGAAGGACTACCAACTTGAAGATATCAAGAACTAATTTGAAATTCTAACTGTAGTAAACAAGAAATCAGAAATTTCAAACTTCTTGGAAGTACATGTACATGTAGTTAAACTTCTGGGAATTGTTTGTGTTAATGAATTACATAGAATGAATTTATTACTCATACAATTTATTATAATTATTGTATGACTTACTTTGCTATTAGTATGATAACACATTCATACATTCCAGGTTACCACATTCTTTAACCCGGAGCATACTGGGCTAAAACCCGTCAATCGAGTGAAACGTACAAACCTACCATAAATTAGTGCCCCCCAAAGCAATACTTCCATCCCAGAAGTAATAATTTATCATTCTTTCTCCATTTCCCTTGTACAGGACATAGGTTGTTGCAGCAACATCTTGACTAACTTTCCAAACCCACCAAAGAACATCAACTGTGTCTTCACGCGAGTCATGGACATTCAGAAGATCAGGGTTTGTACTACCACTCTTATATATGATACTAGTATACTAATTGTTTTATTGCAAGTTCATGCCCGTAGGCTAATTGCAAATACAACAACAACAATAATAAGCACAATCAAGTAATACTTAACTAGACACAATAAATAAAAGCTACCGTAACTACTGGGTTTGACTTCTTTGTTGGAGACAGAGGAAGACAAAAGATCCCACTTTTTCTGTAATGTGTGGGTTTTCTGACGTTAAGAGAAGAGTAGTATTCTTTTCATCTGTATATGTGTGAAAGTTTTTCTAGAATTTTTTCAAAGTTAAATTCAACTTACGAATATATAGCCTTGCTGTCTGGAATTAAATTAAGGCTACCTAGGGGTTGTAGTACATTGTTAAATGTACATGTCATCGGGGATGTGGAATGGACCAGTGTAAAAGGAATTTAGCCTCCCCGTGAACATGTTAAAGAACCCAACACATTTCTCTAATACAGAAGAGATGCACAACATGGTACATGTATGATTTAAAAAAGAAAACAATCACTTCCTTAACATGCACTTAAACATGTGCCATGCCCATGAGTAGTGAAACTATATATAAGGGCTACTTTGTCCAATCAATGATCAGCTTTGATAATGGTATGTTCCGATGAAAGTTTCCTAATATTATGTTCCAACATCATTATAATTATTAATATTCCAATTGAAAGTTAATAATATGCAACGGTAACACGGCAACAAATAAAAAGTATATTTGTACTAGAAAGATACCATTTGCAAAGCAAAATAATGCATGTTTATCTTCGCATATGGTCTGTTAATTCTTACTCAAACACACACACACACGACAGCAGTCTAAATCCCTCCGACTGTAAAACTGCAACATGATGTAACCCAACACCAGTTACCATGGTGACAGTCGGTCTGCTTCAGGTCATTGACCAGGTCAGAGGTCACTGTTTGGAGAAGAAGAAGAAGAAAAAACAGCAAAAACGATATGTTTTCCTTAGGTAAACATAAGAAAGTATCCCAGTACATCGGATGGACCAGTGCGGGCAGACATCACAAATACCTGCTCAGCTCCGATTTAACCTGCACAAACCTGCATATGCCGGTGATATTGTGTGTGTGTTCCCTAACAGTTATAACTCTGTTTCTCCAGGGTGATAACCTGGAGTTGTCCCTGTTCCTGGACTACGTGATAGATGGACGGGAGCTACAAGAGAGCCACCCCATCCTCATCCCCAAACCTCTCGTCTCCAAGATGCCCATCTGGCAGAACCCCCTGCCTCCACGCCCCCCTCCAGGCTTTGCCAACCCCTCCTTCCAGCAGTACCCCCCTGAGTTCTACCCCCCTCAGCCCTACCCAGAATATCAGCTGGGCCCCAGGATTGCAATGGAGTCAGAGTGCGACTTTGATGACAAGTCGCTAGGCGATCTGAACCTCAATACTTAGGGTGCAGTCGCTATGTTTGATGAATTGTTTTTTCCTTCACTGGAAAGAACGTATTATAAAATGTAGTAAAATACAGTACAGCTTGCACTGTAAGAAAGATATTATCAGCTTAAATTAAGTAACTAAAGGTAAAATTGTGAATGGACCAATTCTGTGAGGACCCTTTCTGTTGTACATGTGTGTCAAGCAGATTATTCTTGAGTCCTGCCTTCATAGATTTGCCTTTAGACAGGATTTATTTGTAGTAGAGTCTGTAGGATATTTTTTTTATTTAGTCAGTTATGTACATGACTGTATAAGACATGTACCTGTAGTCTTGATATAATAAAAATATGATAAAATAATAACTTAGATATTGCTACTTATTCTATTTTTAACAAAATACCACTAAGTAAAGCAATTTTAAGGCCTGTCTGTCTAATTTTAATGTTGATGAATCACACTAAATTTCATGATATATTATTAATATTGATCAAATGCTTGGTACACTATGTCCAGCCACTGCTTAATATGTTTATCTATAAGGACCATTCATATCAGTCTACAAAGACAACGTTTTGTCATCTAGTTAGATAATACATTTTTCTGAAAAATAAATTTATAGACAGTTTTTGAACCCGTCTTCTTTTCGTGTATGGTGACATTTCTATTTAGAGTTGTTAAGTGTAAGTTTGCATTGTGGGTTTGTTGTTTTGATATTCATTTCCTAGCATCATTTGTAATCATATATTAATGATGTCATTGAAAATAAAAATTTCAAGAAATACGATAGTGTTAGTAATGGCATACAATTTATTTGCATGCAAGCATGGCATTGCATAGAAAAAAATCCATACCATGGGAGAAGTGTAGTAATACATGGACGTCAATGCAATCTTTATACAGCAACTGTCATACATGGATTTGTCGCAAAGAATTAGTTTTTAGTCTTATGCCATCACATTTAATATACAAATATTTGTTTTGTCCTAGTTTACAAAATCTAAGGTACTTACATGCATATGTATGTACACCAAATACCTGCACCTACCCATACAATATACAAATTGTACACTGTATATCAGCCTCTATCAAAAGTAGCATTTATGAAGACCTCCATTTTCCACAAAATTGCACCTTGCGATTATATCTTCTCCACTACATGTATTTACAAAAATATGTCTTTTTCCACAATCACCAGAAATTCATCCCAATGTTAACAGAAGCTACACAAACAAGTAGGCATATAAAAATAGTGCTAAAAGCAGCATTAATCAATCTTGCAGCTCCAAAGTCACTCATATGTATATATAAGTTGTACTCTTACTCTACCCGAAAAACACAACAAAACCAGATAAAATAGAATCACCTTATTGACAATGATGGAATTTGTTTCCCTCTTTTTTACTGTGACCTAACAATCCATTCTTTCTACCCCATAACAATGACAGCCACTCAATAAATAACCCCATACCATGATGATAAAATTCAGTCTGTGGTCCTTTGCAGATTGGAATGAAAAATATCTCTGCATCACAAGAACTCCCAGAGATGTTTTAGCTTAGCACTGCTCACAATAGAAACTGTGTTTCCTGTTATGACATACTGCCAAAGAAGTTCATGATAAAGCTACAGCAATTCCTTCCCTTGATTATATGACCTTTTGTACCGTGGAAAGGACATTCAAGAAAACAAATGCTGGCAAGAAAACTTGATTTTGGCTTTGTGCAAGTCCTGAAACTGCATACCTGGGTACAGTCCCTCAAAAAATACATTAGTTTTTGTCATCATTTCATCAAGTCAAAGACCCAACGAAATGAAACGTTGACATCACAAGGGTCTTAAATCCGGTGTACAGAAAGTGCGAAATGGAACGAAATGAAACGAAATATGTATGAAGTACGTTGGAACGGCGACGTTAGTGTCCGCTCGACGTCCAACGTTGGAACGGCGACGTTAGTGTCCGCTCGACGTCCAACGTTGGAACGGCGACGTTAGTGTTCGCTTGACGTCCAAACGGCAACGTTAAGATTGATGGTATTCTTAGAACCGCAACGTTATAAGATCAATAAGGGTACGTTAATAATAAAGTGACCACAACATTATAAAATCGATCAGGGTACATTAATAATAAAGTGAGTTTTGAGTACCCCGATCCATCTTATAACGTTGTGGTCTCTTTATTATTAACATACCCTGATCGACCTTATAACGTTGCGGTTCTAAGAATACCATCAATCCTAACGTTGCCGTTTGGACGTCGAGCGGACACTAACGTCGCCGTTCCAACGTACTTCATACATATTTCGTTCCATTTCGTCCCATTTCGCACTTTAAAACTTCGCCCCTTAAAACTCATCATGACCGTGCGGTTTGCCTTGCTCATCCTTGTCACCGTATGGTGTGTTCTCTGCATAGTCTGGGAAAAGCTCCTCCAAGTGTTCTGCCGGCACCTGGTAAACTTCCTCCACTGTCACCACAAAGTCTTTGTTCAGGTCCAGGGTTTCAAAAATCTGTATACGTTTCAGGAAACGTGTGTTAGATACAATTTTTTTTTTACCAAATCAGGGCTCGAAAAAATACATTTATATGTAGGTTAGTGCAGGCAAAATTTTGGGATTGAAATCTACCTTCACCTACATGTAACCTGCACTGATATATGTACTGTGTTTATAGATGCATGTAGGTGTATTGTGGATTTTTATTTGGTGCATTGACATGTTATCACCTACATGTATGAGAACTGTAAAAGAAAGTATGGCAATGGTTTTTGAAAGTTTTTAATATGATCCATATCCATAATTATGGTGCAGATAAAACTTGTCTGGTGCAGGTAATTTTAAATGTTGCAGAGATTGAAGTATTTTGAGCCCTGTAAATATATATGTATTTTCTTCCCATTATGGAATCCACACAAATCTTACTGCTACTGAAGGCCAGTGAGAGAGTGAAATTGGTAACAACCAAACTCACATCTAGTTTGTAGCTCATGTCCACTTCAAATCCAGTGTCAAATGACAAGCTTTCCAGATCCTCTGTGCTGATGGAGTCTCTCTCTGCAAATGCCTCCAACACCATTGTCCTGACAGAAAAGGATGAGACATTAAAAGTTACCAAAACTCCAGGAATTTCAAAGTGCCAACAAGTGCAATAAACGGTAACTAAATTTTCTGTATTGGTATAGCTGGTATAACCGCCCTTCAGTGTAACACACCAGCTTCGCAGGAACGCGTCATCGCGGCAGCTGTCTACATTACACTGATCGACTTGTTACACCTACCCCTTGAATATCTAACTCTAAACATTGTTTAATGCTATCTAATGACAATGCCCCTACTGTACTTGCTGACAGCAAGTTCCACTCTGCTATAGTTCTGGCAAAATTCTTGAACACCTCAATCCGTGGTTGATAACTCTGGTACTTGAAGGCATGGCTTTTTTATGTTCTCAGTTGAAGTTACCAGAAATTTGCAACCTCTAATAGTTTCACTTTTGTGCCCAAATAAAGAAACTGCAATACAGTCAGGAAAGTCATACTAGTTTGAGGTGACGGTTTATGTATATATTAGTAAGAACTTCATAAAACTATCATGACCGATAGAAGAATTTATGGCATCTTTAACCAACAGACAAGCAAATCACAGACTGAACTTTGATGCCCAAAGTATGAAACGTTTTTTATGCTGACCTTATCTGCTCTGTGGGTGCCACAAACTTGTATTTACTGAGAGGCGCAAAGTCGGGTAGGTCTTCCTTCTTGCTGCAGTCTTCCTCATCGAACCTGTACAGATGGGTGAACCAGATGTTCACTGCCACATTTCTCTTCTGCTCAGACGCTGTCGAACTCACGTGGTGGAACCATCTGTATATAAAACAAAAAAAACACAGGTGAAACTACGTCGATAAAGGTTAGACATCAGGTAGAACATTACAGCATACAAAATAAACTCGAAAGGTAACATTTTCAAGTGCATAATGTTTACCTTCACGTGGTCTAGCTTATAAAACTTAATTGATCTGTTTATTCAAATACTCACAGTCAGACTAGGGGCATATGTATAATTTATACTAGTCAGTGACCACTCCCTCCAGGGTTAACACTGTAAATCACTTTATATTCACTCATTTGCGGTACTTATATATTCACGATTTTATTGCTCACTTCTGCGCCATGAATTTATCATGACAGTGAACAAGTAATACAGCAACTCTTTCCTCTGCACATGATGTTGCCACGCTAGACAGATCAGGGTTCTCCCCAGGATTTGAGAGGCATGGCCCCCCCTCCAGAGGGGGGAAGCTGAAGCATTTTTCTTTATCTAAATACAAATGGAAGCCATTTCCTGCAACTTCAGGTTTTGAACTGACCAGAAAAAATGTTAACATACAGGAAAAAATTGGGCATAGGTTCCACGCTCTGACCCCTAACCGGGGGCCAACGGTGCCTTCAAGTTCGACAATTGAAACAGAATATGACATTAAGTCATACATTTTCCACTTGGAACTTGAGGCAAGCAATTATGGGAAAATGTAGAGAAGCTGGGACAAAACCTTATCCTAATGCTAATCCTTATGTTATCACCAACTTGTAAACAAGTCCCTTATAATTATCAAAGTACCATCAAGAGTACCATCAAAACAAAATTTCACTTCTCTAACATTAAATAATCGGTCCCATGTTTAGGACTAACAAAGTTACACATTTCAAGAAAATACTTTTGAATTTAAAAAAAAAAGAAGAAAAAAAGAAAAATACTGAATAAAAAAAATATTAATCTGCACAACATTTTTATTGGTTTCTATCCCTTTGCTTGTCTACAAGTCGATAATGTGATTGTATCAATTTTTCAAACGCCCTAAAATTAGCTAAATCGGCGAATTAAGGTGATTGCGCAATGGACGTGCCCTATGACCTTCGACCTTTTGGGGGTCATGCAGGCGTCAACAGTGCCCTCCCCATGCCTTGCCCGTCCGTTTTCGTCGGCAAATTTCTGCTTTTTTAGAGGTTTTGAGACCTTAAAACTCATACCATGGGAGAAATAAACCACATACGTTATTTTTATGGTAAATATCGCTAAAATGGACCATGCATTTTTTTGTCGCGTTGCCGATTTTTGGCAGAAGCCTTGCGGTGCGGCCGCCATGTGCTACGCCGATAGGTACAGGCCGTCCCCCGTCCGGGTTTGTGGGCAAAATTCAGCTTTTTTTAACGTTTCAGGACTTAAAAACCGACAGCAGGGGAAAAATAAATCGTATACGTTATTTTCATGGGAAATACCGCTATCATGAACCAGACATTTTCTGTCACGTCAACGAATTTCGCCGCCGCCACATGCTTCATAATGTCGCGGTACGGTAGGGAATTTTCTACTATATAAGTTCGTAAACGTATCAGCTTTTATTTTTAAACTTATTATCAGGGTCGAGGGCTTTGGTTTACAAAGAAATCAGACAATTAGGCCACACCAATTTAATTTCTTGGTTAACGGATTTTTCTAGAAAAAAAATGGAGCGGGCGGGCGAAAAAAAAATAAAAATAAAAATTTGAGACCACCTGCCATACAGCCATGTAGTAAGCAATCCAGTAAGTTAAGTTACAAAATGATATAAGACATTATATTAGACACTTATTGAACTGAAAGGACCATTACTACATATACATGAGCAACTTCTCTTACATCCCTTTACAATTATTTGTATTATTTTGCAAGATACACATCTTTACTGTATGAACAACAAACTGTCAGTTGACAAGACTCCCATCCAACTGGTTTCACTTTTATTCATCTTTCAAAGTTCCAAAGAGTGGTTTAAATCAGGGTGCTCTGTTCAGATCCCATTGTTTTCTTAGTTCAGGGCACACAGCTTACCACTGGGCTGGGCATTCTATTGTGTCTGGCTGATATGGAAGTTATTTAGAGCTTGAAATTTACAATATCCTAAATATATGCTTTAGACAAATTTCCAGGAATGTGTAATTATTTGGCAAAAGAATTAACTACTTTTACAGATATTTTATTTCTTTTTTTATCTTTCCCCAATTCCCAAATACTACCGGTAGTATACATTTTATATTTCCCATTATACACTTTAGGTATGCTACAGCTACATTATAAATAGCCACATTGACACACTCTTCAAGTTGCCACAAATTCAATGGTCTAGGGTTTCACTATAAAGTCTTTGATTTTTATTTGTAGGGGGAACCATTTTATTCAAAAATTTAGATGTAATAATTGATGCATTATTTGCAATTGTACTCCTGTTTATATGTATCTAAATAAGATGTAACTTTGTTAGAATGCCACATGCACATGTAGTATTTTTCACAGAGTAATTTCTATAATTAAAAGAACCTGTTTCCCCCTACTCGAAGTGGACTCTTCCGACCGTGAGAAACAACTTTAGTGAATGGACTTACGTGCATGGAGGACGTTTTACTTTGCCAAATTCCCATATTTGTGGTAGGATTTTGTACTTTTTGAGAGTAATACAGTTTGTGATGCCAGAATACATTGTTATGTCGTGTTATTTTTACATATTCCCTGGAAAAAAGATCGTTTTAAAGGTGTGTGTGCATGTGCCGCCCAGGCCGAGTTTACACGTTCGGCCGATACTTTTAACGCCCGTTACTAGCACATGTTTCCGACACAATACGTGTTTCTAAATGAAATATAATATATATCTAAAAGGGAGATGATATCATGTTGTTACAGGCACGATGATTTAGTAAATCTGCCGTACGTTTGACTGTCGTCAGTGAAGTTTTGTCCCATGAATGGTGACATGTGCAAAGGGGGTGGGGGGCGAGTTCTATATCAAAAGAATTTTTTTTTACGAACTTTTGAAGAGGCAACCTAGCTTTCCGAACAAATTGCACTCAGAAAAATGTTTCTGCCTTGAAGCAATGTATTTTTAACGCTGTTAACTATGCCCAAATTTTGAAAAATTACAACGTACGGGGTGGATTTTGGGGCCCCAAATTATTCGGGACCCGAGAGTATGGATTTTTGTTCTGTTTTTATTTTTATTTCATTTTGGCAAAAAAACGAAGCGGCGAATCCGTTAACCAAGGAAATAAATTGGTGTGGCCTTAGCTTTGTTTACACGACTTCAAAACGCTAGCGGGGCGCCCGATGTTCCACCAATGACAGCGATTCTCTCAGTAGCGTCGTGCGAAATACTCATTGTTTACTCGATTATCGCCCCATTCACAAGTTTTCAGAGACAATGCCGGCGGGAAAATAGACGCCACTAAGCCCCGAAATCAGGAAATTTTATCGAATTTTAGCGAAATTTTGTTGAAAAATCGGGATGCAACACCCTAGATTTGAAAATGAGTATGAGGGCGCTGAGCTAGGAGTATCAGGGCGCAGCGCCCTTGTTCCATCGTCTGGGGAGAACCCTGCAGATAGTTCCACGAACATGTCAATTTTTTTCAGACCTAGAAATTTTGCTACCGCGAATATAAAGTGATTTCTTTATCTGCTACAGCACCAGATACCATTGTGACAGCTGTCTGCTGCAGGTCATTGGCGTTATGGCCTTATGCGTTTTGAGAAGAAGAAATATAGCAAAAACAATGTGATCTTTCTGCAAAGGCAAACATAATCAATCAATATTCTCTGAAGTGTCACTATGCAAGTTTGAAAGATGGCGGATACTATACTGACGCATCTGACTCTTAATTTAAGAAAATATATCCAATTACTCGATTTAGTAACTTTGCATTACGAAGTTTGCATGCAATGTGATTTTCTCTGCAACTAGCAACCCTAAAGGTAAAGCAACCTATGTTGTATACGATGTCTTAAGATTTACTGTGAGCCTACATTTCATTTCATTATTTCACTATGCAGAATCATTCATTGTTGTCAACTGAAGGTACTTTGCATTTTCTGTCACAGAGCAGGTGAAGTTTATAATTATATAACACATCCACAACTTTCCCAAAAGTAACCCAATTACATTGCATATGCAAATTGTACAATATAGACGTACGCAATAGCCCTAATTCAGAGAACAGTAACTTGTAAAAAAAATGCACTCACTTGTATGGAATGAAGAGGCAGTCCCCTGCTTCCATTGTAGCATTGTACCAGGGTACATCTTTTAGACCTGGATATTTGTAAAGATCAACTTTTTCCACATCAACGCCGCTGAAGGATCCCTCTTCGTGGTCAATGTCAATATGCTTGTATTCCTTCTGCAAAAACAAAAACATGATCAGGATTTTTAACAATTGAGTTTGGTATTAGGCCACACCATCTACATCCCTTTCTTCTACGACATTTTGAAGTAGAAATTGAGCAAGAGTTCCAGATGGAAACGGAGGGTTTGCCTACACTACACTGTTTTCCGAAATTGCACCAAGCTTGGGGCACGGTCTTCCTCCTCTGTTTTATATTCTACAAGTACTGGTTTGATTTTTTTACTTCCAAAGACAAAGAAATTAGATTGGTGTGGTCTTTTGCCCTTTAAGGGTTATGTTATTAATTTATCTAAAAAAATTGACTGGAAAAATTACTGTAGCATACTTCTTAACGATTGCAACAAAATCAAACCTTAACACACTGAAGAGTCTTAACTACGTATTTCCTCACTTTATCAACCATGAACAGCTCCTTGGACCCCTCAAAGAGACAGTTAATATTGTCAGTGGCGTCCAGGTGCAGGACAGACTTGGTGCCTCCACTGCTGAACCACATCACAGCGTCCTGCAGGTAGTCCACAAAACCTCCACACAGCAGGCTCTTCAACAACATAAACTCTCCTAGGATGAAGAACACAGGCATCATTTATAAGACAAGCCATTCTTCTCATTTCAACTTCAAGCATTTATTTTTCCTTTTTTTGGGAATAGGTGCACTCAGTGTTTCCGCCAGGCGGCCGTCCAGCCGTCCTTTGACGCCCTCTTCCCGCTGGGGACGGCCTAGGCTCGTGAGGAGGCCGTCCCAAGAAAAAAATTATACCGTATTTCTTGTAGGACCGAAGGACCAGACATCGATATATATTTGATTTTCACTCGGCTATTCAAAGATAAACTTGTTAGATATATTTTCAAACATAAGAAAAGTTTATTTGCAGGCATTTATCTCTTGAATACGACACAAAAATGTGTCTCATGTACCGCACACGGCCTCCTCAGCTAGCTGCAAATCCTGCGTCACATGCCCACATTTCGCGTCTCTGATTGGTTGTTGCGTCGGCCGCTGCAGCGCCAGCGGTAAGATTGAGTGAGCCGACGCGCGTGTAAACAACTTTTCTTTGTTAGGATATAAGCGCTAAAACGCTATTTTCCACAACCACACATCGATATTCTAGTGAAGAAATATATAGTTTCAAGAATCTTTCGGGTAAATATATATTTCGATGCGTATTTTTTGCATTTTCAGCGTTAGTTTGAGGTACACTTACCCCGGAAGTATACGGACCGCGTGCGTTTCTCGTAGCGTAGCCACGCTAATTTTTTAGTGTTTTTACCCCTTGTTTTACCAATCAAAACAATAAAGAACTCCCGCTAAGGAGAACCCAGTAACATGTCAGATTCCAGCAATTATGTTTTTGATCAAAATTATGGATGTGCACGTATTTCAGCCATATTCGTCCGCGGGAATTCTTGACGCAAACCTACCCCGCGAACAGGAATCAGGACCGCCGGCCTTTATCCGGAAGTTGCCGCCGCATTAAAGTTACCTTTACTTTAACAATTATTTGCCTCTCAGAATGCGGGAAATGGCGTTTTTAACCCTCTTAAAAGAGGGTTAAAATTTCCCGGGGGAGCATGCCCCCGAAACCCCCTAGTATAAGCTCGCGCCTTCGGCGCTCACGGTCGGGCCTTCGGCCCTCCGGTTGGCACTGGTGCATCCATCCTAAAGAATTTGATGCACTAAAAATTTTTTGGGTGCACCATAAAACAAAACCTTACTACAGATCTTACTCAAGTTACTGCTCCTCTTCTGAGCTTGAATCTGAAAATGGGAGCTAACTTCAAAATCTTAAAACAAGTACTTCAACAAAGATTTTATTATTTTTCTGACACTTAGATGCCAAGGATATCCTGTATAGTATTATACATTTGATATGTACAAAAATACCTACAAAAATATTTGGGTGCACCAGTAGAAAAAAATTGAGTGAACAGCTCCAATTTTGGGTGCACTAAGGTGCACATACACCCAGTATTTCGCGCCCTGCTTAAAAATTGATCTGCCCGGCTACGATTTATCTTGACCATATACATGTACAACTCTTTGTATCCTTATATAGTTCAAGTTGTCAGTGCTGTGAACATGTATGTGTAGTAACACTAACAGTAGTCCCACAAAAGGAGGGATTTTGTGGGCATTGCTGCTCAGTGAGAAGATTACTTTTCACGCCTTGGTCAACACCTGTTTCCCACACCTAAGTGTGGTACAGCAAAGTGATACCAAGTCAAGTGAAGTGCATACTAGCAAGTCATCATCGCAGCAAAAAGCAATGGCGATATTTCATAAACTCCACAGCTGCATTAACTGACAGAGTTAAGAAAAATGAGCATGGGGGTTTCAAATTGTGACAATGAAGATCATTAGCAAGACAGCCAATTTCAAATGTGTCATAGAACTTGAGTGGTACCTCTCAACGCAGGTTTGATGCTCTCCACTAAGTAGATATCACTGCTCTTGTAGGTGCTGAGGAACTCTCGGAAAGGTACATCGTACGAAGGCCAGGAACGGTTCTCCTTCTTTCCCTCTTCAACAAAGACAGTCATGTCCCCATAGTTTTTACTGGAAAATCACGTACTGTAAATTATTTCTTTAATTATATTTCAGTCCATACCATGGTATGGATGAAATATATTGTGTTCTCTGATGTTTCTTCTCCTTCTTCTCCTTCTCCTGCCACACAGTCAGAGGGATTCAACTCCGCCATCATTCAGTCAAATGACTTGAAATTTGGCATGGAGGTAGAGTGGGCCAATACCCCCAGGGTTTTTTTTCATTTTTTTGATACATGCCTTTAAAAAATTTTTATGCAGGTTTTTTGGGGCATTTTTCGCCAAAAAATGGATTTTTGGATCCTGAGCCCTGGTTTTACAACCAAATGATCTGAAATTTGGTATAAGGGTACCTTGAACATGTGTCTACAGAACAACAGTCACATTTTTGGCATACACCACTTCCAAATGACTCATTTGGGGGACTTTAATGGCTATTTTCAGCAAAAAAAGGGCCAAAAGTGCTATACCCGTTCCATATTCTATCTAAAGAATGGCACGTTCTATCTGCCGTTGGCCATGGAACAGGTGTTCCATTGCGGGTTACCTGAGGTCACATTGCACGTAAGTCTTGCGTAATGACCCACACATTCAATTTTATGTGCCTAAGACCTTCAAAATGTATCAAATCTCATCATTGTTAGTTTTTGCATACCTGTAATAAGATTAGTAAAGCTTTCGAGATTCAAAGTACTTGTTGTTGCATCTTTGTTCTCATATAGCTACTATTCAATTCATTTATTTGAGAACCTTTGCCAGTTTTGCACTGGGGTAAGTTTGGAATAGTCCACTTTTGCGCGGGAGGGAGATGGACTGAAATATGCTGTATTTGCTCCCAAGCAAATGTCGGCCTTTCTAGTAGTACACTGTTTTCTCACTTTTTAAAAAAACTTTCCAGTCGATTTTCCTCGGGAGTTGGTACTAGTAGCCATATACTAGCATATAGATTGGTAATACATATTAATGTACCAATATAAATTAATGGTACTAGTTACTATAAATAGTATAATGACATAACAAGCATCATTGGCCACGTCAAGACAAAAGACCATATGTTGTTGATATAAATTTAAGCATAAAAGCAGAGAAACAAGGCTAACTATATATGTTGAAATATACGGTATACAGTCTATAAAATAACTGAAAACCAAAAAAAGTTATGTTTTTTTAACATCATGATTAAATTCGTTTAAAAAAAAGATGACCTCTTTTACATGTATAATAATTGGCCACCTACAGAAGTAGGTCAGCAAATTTGCGCCCGCTCAACCGGAAAGTCAGTTATACATAATGGACTGCATTTACACACGAACAAGGAAATCTTCATAATCCAAATCATATACAGTGTACAAGCCGATACAAATTATTAGAACTATCCAATGGCATACAGCACAGTTTACCTCTCACATACTAGTAAGTTGCTCTAGCCAGGATTCAAGAGTTTTGTCTGCACTATTTTCTATTCAGGATCGGCCATTAATACCATGTTTTGTGACCTTTTAAAGCATTGCCCAGACCCCCCTCTAAGGGCCCTATTTATATGTCAATTTCTGAAATAATTATGTTTGATCACCTCTTTACTTTATATGGGCAACTCTCATACCAGAGAATGTGAAACAAATTGAAACATTTCAGTAAAATTCCTAGTATAGGAATATGCTACATATTTGAAGCTCTTTGATATACTCCAGTGTAGTCAAATGTTAATGAGAGTACCAGTTTGTCTGTTCCCCCAAGATACTAGTAATTTGCCCCCCTCCCCCTTTAAATCACCTGAGGTACTCGTCTGTCCACAGCTTGAAGGCCGCCATCTCCTTCGCGGCATCCTTGAAGACCACGGGCTTCCCGGGCTTCACGTACTTGTGGTAGAAGTCTCTCGGGTGGGGAACGTCTTGCAAGACTTCCACCGCGCCGACGGGAGGCACTTGGTTACCGATGGGTTGCAAGTGGCCATGCGGCGGCGTGCCCCTACTACCTCCTCCGACGGACTCGCCCGAACGGCTCGGTACCAGCGCTAGCCCGACACAGATCACTAGAACAAGTCTCCAATAGCTTTCTTTCATTTTCCCAGCAATTTTTTCTCTCAACAGTCGAAGTTACTGAGAGGAAATTCTGCTCCTCTGACCAGAAAACCCTGTCTGACAACCTGTCGTTTGATTTTGCTGCCAATCTTCTTCCGCGTGGCGAGGTGGCTTCTGGGAAGGAGGTAACCTTGCGGAGTGGGTATCACGTGACCGGCGGCTGCTGTCTGCAACTGGCGGGACCTCCACACATTCTTACCCCCAAAATGGGCTCCTCAGTTATCTAAATCACAGCTCAAGTCTCCTCCAACACATCACTGGGTGAGTCCCTGTACCTTGGGCACAGAATTCTGACAGAAATGGTGGGAAATGACACCATTTTCTGTCACATGTGATGATGTTAATATATGCATGCCCCTGTGGTGGCAGCCATGAAAATATGGTTCCCCCATGATGCCTGTGCACCTGACTGGATTGTAGCTTCTTTAGTCTGAAGGGTGTCCAGAGTTTTTCCTTCCTTACAGGATTCTGGCGGTTTAAGATGCGAGATTCCAGAGAGCGGGTCGTTCTTCGATGCCGGTGCAGCTTGCAACTTGGAAATAATGAGCACGCTTGGATCATCACAGACGACGGCATAGCTGTGGTCACAACTAGCAGGGATTTCTGGCCAACCCACAAACTAACCAACTCCATTCTTTCCGCAGAGGAACCGGCTGCCACATCACATTGAGTTGCCTTTCAGTACTAACTGTTACTTAATGTTGCATCGTTTTATTTAAACCAAGACTAGTGGCTAACGTCATTCCACTTGTGGAGATCGACAGCTGCCTGCCACACTGATAATTTCTGACATTGACATAGTGACAATTTCTGACCTCAACGATTATCAGGGGATTCCTGATTCAGGTAGCAGGGGTACTGCACTTCCATATACCTAAGCATATACTACATCTCTTTATATGTTTTTCATATCAGAATTCGGATACAAAATTTATGCTCTCAAATTATTAAATGTAAGTATTAGGGAATTTTCATTTTCTTATGGTGTCATGAAATATATTACCACCAATATACTTAGTCTATCATCTGCATCCTTGGTCATACTCCTTTTCACTATAAATGCATTAATTTATCTAGGGATACTCATGCAAACTTTATTCAATTATTGCTATAGATTATACTCTTGAAGACAAACATAAAATATTTCATCACAGGAATAGGTCCGGTTTGACTTCTTCTTCAAGACATTGGAGGAAGAAAAACTGCCACATTTCATGTGTGGACATTGCATAAGTTTTCATACTGCACAGAACCAAAAAGCTAAGATACACTTAGTTATTTTATTGACTTCAATGGATAAAAAATCTTTCAAACATTGATTTGTTGGCCTGGGCCCATGCAGTTGCAGAAAGTTTAAATATTGCATTGTCCAAGTTGCTCTCAAATGACACCTGTGTTGTACTTATATAGCCAGTCACATGATGCATGGTTTTCTTCACATCTGTACATGATGCCTAAATTCCATTACATTGAGATACGCCCCCCCCCAAAAAAAATAGTAACAACCATACTGACCATATTTTCCAATTCATAAAAATGCACTTGTGTAATTTATGATAAATCAAATTCGTATGTAATGTGTAACTATGAGACTTTGAAACATGATTCTTACTGAATTGTAAGTATATTGGGATCAATCCGGCTTAAAAAGTTAAAGTAAGCAATTGATTATAAAGAGAAAAACAAATGTCCTTAGTCATGTTACTGACATACCACACATATCTTGTCTTTTTAAATGAAGACAGCCTCAAAGTCATACAAATTTTTGTAACTGCCAAGTAACTAAGTAAGTGTAACCCCATAAATTTTCACTCAGTAATGGTATATACTAATATAGTTTCTGATTGTGGTACCCCGTTTGGAAGAAAAAAAATCAATAAACGGTATATCCATGAGTAAAGCCCAATTCCTATACAGTACAATAATGTCCTTGCAATCGGTCTAGTAAATAGAGCTAGAACTAGAAGGATTTTTGTTTTTAACCAACCTGTAAAACTTTTAAAGGACCATGTAAAACAATTTGTATGCTCGTTTTGAGGTTTACTAGTAGCTGGCAGTTAATAACTTAAATGTTTTACTCGTGTCAGTATAATTGTTTGATTTCATATACATGTATTTTTTGTAGATGTGATTCTCCTTTGTAACCTTATTCAAGTCTTGCTTCCTTTACATTAGCCAGACAGGGGCCCATCTTAGGGGTTTGGGTCAGACAAAATGGCTTCCCCTGTTTGCTGTGCGTCAGAGCTGAAGATCATGTGACCAACGTGTGGTCTCCCTGTCTCTCGCATAATTACCTCCCGTGTTAGCCATGTCTGGTTCTCTCACCACATCACTTCATTACCTTGTTGTTGTGTTTATCCTGGTTGTCGTTTCTGAACGGGGAAAAAGAGGAGTAGTTTTTGCTGTAAATTTGCAGAAAGAACCCTCAGGGGTCAGACAGAGGTCAGCCAAAATGGCGGGCGGTTGGTTGCCAACAGAGAGTGCTGCATGATCCAGTAGGTCATGTGATCACCATGAGGCCCAGGCTTGTCTGGGGCCATTTGTAGATTTAAGGTTGGACAAGGTAAGGAGGTCGAATTGAGCCTCCTTTGAGGACCAAGGAGCTTTTTGAACCTCCTTGTGTAATAGGACAGGGACCAACACGGTGAGAAACCCCAAAAGGCCATCCTAATCCCAATTGAAGTTGGTATTGTCCTAAAGGTTAAACTGCAGAGGGTTGAATCTATATATAAACAGCCTCCTTGATCAAATAGATCCCAATCCAAGCAATCGGTTTATTGATAAGTATATAGGTTAGCTTCCTTTGCGATTGTGTGCAGTGTGATATCTTGGAATGCTGTCTGCAATGAGCTAGCCTGTACAAAATGGAGGTACAGTGCAAGTGTAATTCATCAGTCAGATGTCCAAAATGTGTCTACAAACTTTAGGCACTGAAGTGTGCTCTTGAAGTCCAGATCTTGTTGGTTTCTTTAGGTTGACCATTATCGTTAATGTTATCTTCTTGTAAGTGTTTTTCTACTTTGTAAACATTGGCTTGTTGCATGTTTTATCCTTCAATTATCATTGTTTTGCCACTTTGTTTTATTTTGGTTTATATATACACACTGTAAAGTACTTCGAATTCGTGCATGATTTTCCCAAGAAAGAATTGCAGAACTACCCCAAATTTTCTGTCAGTTTAAAAATCAATAGCAATATTAATTTTTCTCATCTCAAAGTGGTTCAACGCTCTCTCAACCTGAATTCAGGAAGAAAATAAGCAAGAGTCCTCAAATCTGGTTCCTAAAATATAGGAAAATTGGTGGTGGTGGTCCCCTTAGTGAAGCCAATGCAGCCGTTTTAAAATTCCAGCAGCGTTTGGGATTTGGATATTGGCCAGGTTTCTTCACTCACTTTGATCTCTTGCAAGTGCTGTTCCTTTTGAGGTTGTCTTTTAGCAAGTGATGTATTCCAGTATATAGCCATAGTACATGTACTGTGAATACTAGTTTCATACGTTGATAAATTACAGTACACCTGTGTGTTTGCTTCTATAGTGTATTCATTGGATAAGTAGTGGATTGGGGGTATTTCCTAACAACAGGTCACAAAAGGTCAGACACAGGCAATTATTAGGTCCCTGAATCCATCATAGAACCAGCACAACAGCATATTTTGAAACTGCAATCTACTTTTAATCAATGTCATCCTAAAGACCCATCAAAGGACCAATCTTTGATGATTATAGGTAATTTGTTTATTTGTGATTTGATATCTCTGTTCAGTGATTGTTCATCCTTCAGGGCTCGATATACTGGGTGCATATGCACCTTAGTGCAGGTAAAATTGGAGCAGTGCAGATACATGTAGTTCTGATGTCTTTCTTCTTTCTTTCTTTATTGGCAATGACAACAGGTCAAGACACAGGTTATCAAGGCAGTGTTAACTGGTATGTCTACCTGCGCCCAATCTGCAATGGGCCATGTACTTGGCTTATAAAGTTATATACATGTACATGTAGTTATACACAAATATAGGTGTAGGTGTATTTTCATTAGCAGTATTGACTGTCATCACCTACATGTATGAAGTGTGAAAGAAATGGCAGTGGTTTAAATTTCTGAACAGTTTTTAGTGTGAACCATGCTTCCTACATTCTGAGTGGTACAATGTACATGTAAATTTGTCAGTCACAGACTCACAGGTGATTTTCAATGCGTATAATATGTTACATCCACTGGTGCAGGAATGCAAAAAATGTAGCCCTGTCCATTAGTGTGAGGACAGGGCTCCAAATTAACTTTTTGACCTAGGAGCACTGTGCTCCTAACCATAAAAAGTTAGGAGCACAGGCTAAAATCTAGGCGCACCAACAAAAAATATTGTATTGCAAAGGTGTTAATCTATTAAAAACTAAGCTAGATCATATTTCCTTTAAAAAAAAATTCTATCAGCATCCTTAATTTTGAAAAAATTGGGCATAGGTTCCCCGGATGACCCCTAACCGGGGGCCAACGGTGCTTCCACAAGTTCAACAAGTGAAAAATACATGATACAAAATGTACATGTATTTACTACCTGGAACTTGCAATTATTCCCAAAGGTGTACCTGACATTGATATATTAAAAACTAAACCAAATCCTATTTCCCAAACAAACCACATATTGACACAGCTGAACAAATAAAAATGTGGTCATGTCTATAAACTCCACTCAAAAACAATTTTTGAGAGACACTCGGGTCGCGATACTAAGCATGATAATCTTTAATATCTCATCTGATTCTCCCAATGTATTACTATTAGGGACTTCACAATCACAGCATCCAACCGCACTAACACAAGAAACCAATAAAATTCGGAAAA